TCCATTGATGTCAAAAGTAAGAGAAGATTGCTGCGAAACTCCATTGGTTAAGAAGTAAGGTGAATACTAAATTCCATCGATGTCAAAAGCAGGAGAAGATTGTTGCGAAACTTCAAAGGATGGCACCGGAATTGCAGAAACTTGTGGATTCGTCGAATTTGTCACCAGAATAGGTGGTTCATTCATCGGAATAGCCTTATTCACCGTCGTTGTTCCTGGATTCACAGTTCTTGCAGCATTGCGTCCAATACGATGAGCAGATCGACGAAGAATAACCATTGGAAAAAGAGTTAGGTAGAATAACCCAAAATGAGCAGATCGCCGATTCACAGCTCAAAATCGGTGAAATAACCGATAAAACAAAGAAAATTATCGATCGAAAGAGAAGAACCGATTAATCTAGATCAAAAATAGAAGAAAAACGAAGATCAAAAGCAAAGTAAAAGCGATTTTCACTGCTCAGATACAATGTTAGTTGAATAAGCAAAAGAGAGAAATTGGAAAATCTAGTTATTCAACTTAATGATTTTGTTACATTAATTCCTCATTTATGTATATGAGAAATTTGGTTCATGATAACCAAGCAGCTTAATTACTTACGGTTTACTTAAACCGGTCTACTCTAATAAAATAACTATTATCTAATAAAAGTAATTTCTTACTATTTTTATAAAGTTACGAAGGAAAATGTATTAATGTTTTTATGAAAATATATGCACGCTACTTTTTTCGTTTAGATGTTTACCTTTTTTTTTTCTTTGTCACAAACAAAATTTCTCATTTACCTAAATAAATACAAAATTTGCATCTACAAACTAGCCAATAAAAAAACAATGTTGTGTTTTCTTGCATTCTTTTGCTAGCAAGTCGGCTTTTACATTCTTGTGCCTGGATTGATTATTCCAGTTCTCTCATCTCAAGTTGAAAACATGGCCATTCTTCTGGGTGTGCGATCATCGTTATGAGCTCATTCGAGTCTGTGATGAATAAAAGACAAAATATTTTTATGCTTCAAACTTGCCATTGCCGATAAGAGGCTCAAAATCTTTGTATGGAATGGTGAGATGATTTGTTTGTCACTGCGAATACCTAAAAAAACTGTAGTTCGAGGATCCAACCTATACCGCATGTACGGTGTCCATATTTCCACATGCCATCAATGTAGCACCAAAAAGTTGTGTGTGGGAGGGTTGTGAGATCTCAACTGGTGTTCTAGCATTCACCTGGTCATCTTGGTCGTTTGCATCAAACCATTCATT